GAAAGCTGAAAGCTCATGTTGCATGCCAAGGCATTCCAGATGCTGGAATCCCGATTTAATTCTACCAACTTTACTAATTGTAGTCCTATGAGTGAACTCACTGTCAGCTTTCTCTGCTATATAAAAAGTTCTGTTTACAATTATTGCTTAGTTGCTGGGTGAGTAGAGAAGTATGAGGAGTTAGAGGGACTCAACTGATCAGCAGAGGAGAATACAGTCCAGACAGACTTTTTTACTTGGATAAACCATAAAAGTTTATCCTGCTCTATTTTCTATATTTATGCTGCTATATGATTAGGCTGCTGGAGGACATAGGGACCACTTTTCCTCTTTTTGCTTCTTTCTATCTCTATTCGCCCATTCTGCAGTGTTTGTTAGTTCAACCTCTAACATTATGCTCTCTCTGCTTTTTCTCATCATAGTAGCATCATAGTGGAAGAATGAGAGGGGCTTAAATTCTGGGGAGGAGAAGTCTGAAACAGTGGCTGGAGTAAATGGGCTAACTGGGAGAAGGTGTGCAGAGGAGGGACCAGAAGGTAACAAAGGAGAAAGGGAGAGTGGCAATCAGGGGCAATGAGAGCAAAAAAGAAAGAATTGACTTTGACTGATGCTTAATTAGGAAACACTAAAAAAAAAAAAAGCAAAAAAAAGGTAATGAAACCAGGATGATACAATAAATGACAGAATAATCAAAGGAAAACAACAAGGACAGGGAAAAGTAGTAAAACTTAGAAGTAATTCCAAACAAGATCATTTCTAACAGCAAACATAGAATAGCATAAACTACCAAAAGGCAAAAAGTAAAACATAAACAAAACCAAAGTCTAGCAAAGTGGACCAAGAGACAACTTGAAATCTGCACAGTTTCATCTAGAAAAGGCTCCTGTAGAAAGTGCTGGCAAAAGGGAAAGACGTTCACTGCAATTCTTTAAAACTTTACTGGTGTAAATCACCCAGTGGCACCTGCCTCCAGTGTCAAGCTTTTAGCCAATCACAGCAGCGGTAGCGGTGTGAAGTACCACAATCTTGATCTGCTTCACAACTTATGGAGTTAACTGATAAATGAAACTCTTACCAAATGAGCAAACACCTTTTCCATTGACAAAGGCACATTTTCAATAAAGAAATAGAGGCTATTTCAGCTAAAACAAGTGCAGCCATTGGTCTTGGTCTGTCTTGCAACGTAAGACAACCCAAGCTCTTGGGGCCTGATTGTCAATATTATTTTCAAAGGTAGCATAATATCGGACCTACAACATGCTTGTTTATAATTTCCTTTATATTCCTCTAAGACAACTCGTTCCTTCCCTTCCTCTGGTCCATGTTGAGTGTGATACACTCCATGTCACCAAACAGCTGACCACCTGTAGCTCTAAATAGCCCACTTACATAGACGGTAGACACCAGTGGTGCTCATTGGTGGACACGCCTTGATTTAACACATCCCTTTGGTCACATTCTTTTCAGTCTTTTCTAAGGGTCATCATCATCATTTTTGCCCAAGCTTGTTTCATTCGTTATATTGAACATTATATTGAAGCATGGTTGAAAGCAATGTCCATTTGTTCACTTTCATGGATTTTTTTTCCAAGTTTCAAGTTATTTCTGTGACCATTGTTGTTTTTTCTTTCATTAGATGAGGGGAACCAAGAATTTTGTCCACATTTTTAACTACTTAGATGTAAAACTCACCTAAATTCACTTGCTATGACTAATCAGTTTCATTTAATCAAAGGAGCAACAAATCCAAAATCCATTTTTTCTTTTACATGAGTTTGAGTTTTTATGGTTTAATCTGAATGATGAAACTGAACAACCTTTAGCCTTATATAGATAAAAAAACACATCACAAAAACCCAGGGAAACATCCTCAACTTGATTTACTGTATATATTCATCCACATCATCCACATGTAAAATTAAGTGCTAATCTATCAGATAAGTTGCCACAGAGGATAGCAGTATCTTTCCCAGAAGTTGCTGCAGGATCAGGACTGTAGACAGTCTACCTCTCTCCTGTAGGTTGACTTGTCTCTGTTACTAATGAGACCAGGAAGCTGATTTCATCCACAAGCTGCAGGAGTTTAACAGACTGGCTGTTGGTGTACATGGACCAAATTGAAGTGGAGAAAGGTTGATGCTCCAGATGCCTGTGACAGACCTCCCTGGCCTCACAAACTACCTTCTGCCTGTCTGTAACTCAGCCGTCTACCTGGATATACAGGTGCTGGTCATAAAATTAGAATATCATGAAAAAGTAGATTGATTTCAGTAATTCCATTTAAAAAGTGAAACTTGTATATTATATTCATACATTACATACAAACTCATATATTTCAGATGTTTATTTTGTTTAATTTTGATGATTACAAATGACAACAAATGAAAATCTCAAATTCATCATATCAGAAAATTAGAATATTGTGAAAAGGTTCAAAATTGATGGCCCCTGGTGCCACACTCTAATCAGCTAATTAACTCAAACCACCTGCAAAAGCCTTTAAATGGTCTTTCAGTCTAGTTCTATAGGCTACACAATCATGGGGAAGACTGCTGACTTGACAGTTGTCCAAAAGACGACCATCGACACCTTGCACAAGGAGGGCAAGACACAAAAGGTCATCGCTAAAGAGGCTGGCTGTTCACAGAGCTCAGTGTCCAAGCACATTAATAGAGAGGCGAAGGGAAGGAAAAGATGTGGTCGAAAAAAGTGTACAAGCAAGAGAGATAACCGCACCCTGGAGAGGATTGTGAAACAAAACCCATTCAAAAATGTGGGGGAGATTCACAAAGAGTGGACTGCAGCTGGAGTGAGTGCTTCAAGAACCACCACACACAGACGTATGAAAGACATGGGTTTCTGCTGTCGCATTCCTTGTGTCAAGCCACTCTTGAACCACAGACAGCGTCAGAAGCGTCTTGCCTGGGCTAAAGAGAAACAGGACTGGACTGCTGGTGAGTGGTCCAAAGTCATGTTCTCTGATGAAAGTAAATTTTGCATTTCCTTTGGAAATCAAGGTCCCAGAGTCTGGAGGAAAAGAAGAGAGGCACTTCATCCACGTTGCTTGAAGTCCAGTGTAAAGTTTCCACAGTCAGTGATGGTTTGGGGTGCCATGTCATCTGCTGGTGTTGGTCCATTGGGTTTTTTTAGGTCCAGGGTCAACGCAGCCACATACCAGGAAGTTTTAGAGCACTTCATGCTTCCTGCAGCTGACCAACTTTTTGGAGATGCAGATTTCATTTTCCAACAGGACTTGGCACCTGCACACAGTGCCAAAGCTACCAGTACCTGGTTGAAGGACCATGGTATCCCTGTTCTTAATTGGCCAGCAAACTCTCCTGACCTTAACCCCATAGAAAATCTATGGGGTATTGTGAAGAAGAAGATGCAATACACCAGACCCAACAATTCAGAAGAGCTAAAAGCCACTATTAGAGCAACCTGGGCTATCATAACACCTGAGCAGTGCCACAGACTGATCGACTCCATGCCACGCCGCATTGCTGCAGTAATACAGGCCAAAGGAGGCCCAACTAAATACTGAGTGCTGTACATGCTCATACTTTTCATGTTCATACTTTTCAGTTGGCCAACATTTCTATAAATCCTTTGTTTTTATTGGTCTTCAGTAATATTCTAATTTTCTGATATGATGAATTTGAGATTTTCATTTGTTGTCATTTGTAATCATCAAAATTAAACAAAATAAACATCTGAAATATATGAGTTTGTATGTAATGTATGAATATAATATACAAGTTTCACTTTTTAAATGGAATTACTGAAATCAATCTACTTTTTCATGATATTCTAATTTTATGACCAGCACCTGTAGCTGGAACGATGATGGAGAAGGCTGTGGTAAAGTCAGACTACCTGCATGCTGGCATGGGACCAGGAGTAGTCCCGATTTGTTGGCTGTTTAGGTTTACTATAGAAGATCCAGGAAAGTCTCTGATAGGTTTAAAGGAATAGTACACCCAAAACATGATTAGCCTTCATTTTCTACTCACCCCCATGCTGAACAACACTCTGGAGTACTTTTTTGATATCTCAAATGCATCTGGAGATCTGGGAGGCTTCTTGCTGTCTGCTGACATTCAAATAATGGAGGTCTATGGCGCCCGAGGCAGAAAGGTCCATAAAAGTCCACAAAAAACGTGTCAATATTCCTCCATACTGCTCGTCCAATGTATTCCAAGTGTCCTAAGTGGGTAGCGTCCAGAATTTACTCGAAACGAAGTCATTTAGAATGTTTTTAGAGCATAAACAGTAGTGTATAGGATTTCCTAAAAGCGCGTTCACGACTCTACGGAATCCGCGGCAGACCAAACCAGATGAAAGTGCGCAGACAGCAAGAAGCCTCCCAGATCTCCAGATGCATTTGAGATATCAAAAAAGTACTCCAGAGTGTTGTTCAGCATGGGGGTGAGTAGAAAATGAAGGCTAATCATGTTTTGGGTGTACTATTCCTTTAAGGTAAGTCAAGATTCCATGGCCACAGAAGTAAAGATGGGTTTGTAATCTTTAAAATCTGTGATGCTTCTGTTTTTTTTGTACTAATGTCTGTAGGTGGTCCAGGTGTTCTACTGGAGGGAGCAGTTGATGGAGGATGCAGATGTGAAGGTGGCTGGTCTGTCCAACTAGCTTTCTGCAGCTGTTATGCTTCAGGATATTGGCCATTTCCAGATAGAGGTTGCATCACCGGCAAAGAATCAGTGCTTTACTCCCTAACTATTGAGTTGTCCTTCATATTTGGACTCTTGTACCTGTTTATGGCCCCAGATCTGAATGCAGCCTCATTTTGTACCCAAAGTTACAAAATTAAGCTGTGAACCAGAGTTTGTCATAATTCTAACTTACACTAGTCCATAAAGAAACAATGGACCATCGTTGTTTGAAAAAAGGAATATTATGAGACTTGTGCCATCAACAACGGCAAGTAAAAACTTGAATCTCAAAATATATTTTATTTTCATCTCTGGAAATGTTTGTCTTACCTTTGGCTGGAGATGTTGGTGAGTGTGGTGGGCTGATTAGCAGTTGCATATTTGCTGGAAGGAAAGGTCGTTTCTGTCTCCTCAGTTGCATGCTGCCTTGCAGAACCATTACATGGCTGTAAAAAAGTAGAAACAACACGATAAGCATCTTGATTCTTGAGATTTAGTTTTTAATACTTTTAACGCAGAACCAACACCTTACATTGACAATTTTCAAATCTTGAAGAGGCACGTTCTGACGTCCTGTAGCAGAGCTTTCTGTACCGGAGCCGTTCGCAGTATTTGGATTGTTCTTTCTCTTTTTCTTTTGGCTTTGCCTCAGGCGGTCTCGTAATTTCTTCCTTTGCTTGCTGTTTATGAAAAAAGAAAAGAAACTGAGAACAAACCAAAATCCAGTAACACAGTATTCCCTTTAAATATGAACAAGCACACTTCAAGAATGATCTAAAAATGAGTAATAATGTCTTAAAATAAGAGTATTTAACCTTCATTTGGTTAGATAAATGAGATGAACAACCAATGGAACCACTATTTCACCCTTAAAATAAGAAAGCGGAGCCAGCTGACATCAGCTCATGTTGATCTATTTATAGAAATTACCAAAACACAGTCACATGGTGTTTCATCCACACGCCTTTCAAATGGGGCTTTAGAATTTTTAATGTTTCAAAATAATTTTACATCAAATACTTTTTGTATTTCATAAAATGAAGAACATCATAGCATCCTCTTCCTCTGACTGCCATAAAGCAACAGTAAGTTATCCTTATATTTACTTACACTCACCGGCCACTTTATTAGGTACACCTGTCCAACTGCTCGTTAACACTTAATTTCTAAGCAGCCAATCACATGGCGGCAACTCAGTGCATTTAGGCATGTAGACATGGTCAAGACAATCTCCAGCAGTTCAAACCGAGCATCAGTATAGGGAAGAAAGGTGATTTGAGTGACTTTGAACGTGGCATGATTGTTGGTGCCAGAAGGGCTGGTCTGAGTATTTCAGAAACTGCTGATCTACTGGGATTTTTCACGCAAAACCATCTCTAGGGTTTACAGAGAATGGTCCGAAAAAGAAAAAACATCCAGTGAGCGGCAGTTCTGTGGGCGGAAATGCCTTGTTGATGCCAGAGGTCAGAGGAGAATGGCCAGACTGGTTGGAGCTGATAGAAGGGCAACAGTGACTCAAATAACCACCCGTTACAACCAAGGTGGGCAGAAGAGCATCTCTGAACGCACAGTACGTCGAACTTTGAGGCAGATGGGCTACAGCAGCAGAAGACCACACCGGGTGCCACTCCTTTCAGCTAAGAACAGGAAACTGAGGCTACAATTTGCACAAGCTCATGGAAATTGGACAATAGAAGATTGGAAAAACGTTGCCTAGTCTGATGAGTCTCGATTTCTGCTGCGACATTCGGATGGTAGGGTCAGAATTTGGCGTCTACAACATGAAAGCATGGATCCATCCTGCCTTGTATCAACGGTTCAGGCTGGTGGTGGTGGTGTCATGGTGTGGGGAATATTTTCTTGGCACTCTTTGGGCCCCTTGGTACCAATTGAGCATCGTTGCAACGCCACAGCCTACCTGAGTATTGTTGCTGACCATGTCCATCCCTTTATGACCACAATGTACCCAACTTCTGATGGCTACTTTCAGCAGGATAATGCGCCATGTCATAAAGCTGGAATCATCTCAGACTGGTTTCTTGAACATGACAATGACTTCACTGTACTCAAATGGCCTCCACAGTCACCAGATCTCAATCCAATAGAGCATCTTTGGGATGTGGTGGAACGGGAGATTCGCATCATGGATGTGCAGCCGACAAATCTGCGGCAACTGTGTGATGCCATCATGTCAATATGGACCAAACTCCCTGAGGAATGCTTCCAGCACCTTGTTGAATCTATGCCACCAAGAATTGAGGCAGTTCTGAAGGCAAAAGGGGGTCCAACCCGTTACTAGCATGGGGTACCTAATAAAGTGGCCGGTGAGTGTATTTATAGACAGACAGACAGATTTCCAAATTAAAGAGAAGAAAATTGTATTATTTACTTAGTTTTGCAGTAGGCCACCACACACATGATTCCAACAATTAGCAGAGCTATGCAGATCCCTGTTATTGTTAAAATGCGCTTTTGATACAGCTCCTCGGTTTCTGAAAGAAAAGAGAAAAAGACCTTATAGCAACACAATAAAACCTAATCACAAACACAGATATAAAGCCAAATAGAAAGAAAGCATTCAAAGTGATCTTTATAGAGACACGGGGAGCTGTTAATGATGCAGGAAGAAGGAGAGAAGAATAGGAGACATACTGTAATAGCTGGCCATTACATAGGTTTGGCAGCGATCACCAGTAAACTCACTTGGACACCTAAACATAAAAGACAAGAGACAGAGAAGAGACAAAAGGGTGTTAGTTACAAAAGATCTGAGTAAAACCCACAACAGTCATCACTGGTGTTAGAAGGACCGGCCAACAAGACCAAGAAGTCAAACTATATCATCTTTTAGTCATTCTCTGACCTTCGTGTTTTAGTTTGTCTGCTGTCATCCACTGACGGATGGTTGGGGTCGGCTAATTTCCCCAACAGGTCGGTTTAATCCGTCTCTTTGCAACAGACTGAAATTTGCATGTACTTGTACAGCCACCGAGTCCAGACCTTCCCACTTACACATTCCTATATGTTTGAAATCACAGGGTTAGTCTGAATAGAGGAAACAGTATGTCGGACATGTTTGTCTGACTCTTGGAAACCAGCACAGCCCTTTGATGAGATGGGTTACAACATGGATGACGTGTGATGAGATGGGAAGTACATGCAAAATTCAGTACAGCGATCTGCAAAGGCAACAAACAACAATCCCCACGTTGTCTGTATTACAGGTTACCAGGGAGACGGGGGTTTCTCCGTCATGTCTTGAGGAGAACATGACTTGGGTGAGACACCAGTAATGACATGTGGGACTGAATACAGCTGTGTTCACATACGTTTTGGGTCTGAGACTTTCTTAAGCACAGCCTGTTCACATCGGTGCCCAGTGAATCCGGCCAAGCACCTGGGTGATGAATAGAAGGGAGAGGAGAAACACAATACCTATGTGTTACATACAAACCAGCATAAAAACACCAACAAACACGGCAGAGATCCAGGAGAATCATCTTTATCAGCAAAAACAAACGTGTCACTATGTTTTATGCTGGTGAAGATTCCCAGTCATCCAGGTCACAGTCATTCCAAAAAAGTAAAAAAAACAATCCCCTTGACTTTGTTTCCAAGTTTGAAGCTGTTTCTCTTCCATCCAGGAAGATTTTTCAATTCAAAATGTCAGAAATAGCATTGAGTTCCAGGTTTTATAGAGTGGACGAAAGCTGAGCCTTGTTTTGGCTTAGAAAACATGCAAATTGATCCCGATGAGTGGGTCTGCCCTGATGGAATGGGAACATTTTGTTTCTTTCTTAGCCTGTAATACTGAAACCTGTCTATGTCTCTAGTTTAAAAAGCTTCCTGGATGGGAAGCGAAACGTCTTCAAACTGGAAACAAAGTCCAGCTGAAGGGTCGCGGTGGGGCCGGTACCTATCTCTGGCATACGGGCGGCCAGACTGGACAGGATGCCAATCTATCACAGGGCAACAGAGAGACACAAAGACACACAACCATCCACACACACACTCACACCAGTCATGTTTTTGGTATGTGTGAGAAAGCCGGAGTACCCGGAGAGAACCCTCGCAGGCACAAGCAGAACATGCAAACTCCATGCAGAAGGATCCCAGCCTGGGGATCAAACCCAGAACCTTCTAGCTCAGGGGTGCTCAAGTCCAGTCCTCAAGAGCTACTATCCTGCAACTTTTTGATGCACCCCATTTTTAACACACCTGAATCAAATGAGTGGCTCATTACCACACCTCTGCTGGGCTAAATGAGGGGATTGAGCCTTTGGATTCAGGTGTGTTAGAGAAGAGATGCATCTAAAAGTTACAGGATTGTAGCTCTTGAGTACTGGACTTGAGCACCACTGTTCTAGCTGCAAGGCTACCCACTACAACACAATGCTGCCCCTTTGAAAATTCAGTACAAACAAAGACAATTAGTTTGTCCACTGAAGCTAAAAAAACAAAATTATTTAGTTTTGTGGTCGGAAAATGTATTTTATTTTATTTCATTTATTAGTTGATCCTATTTACTCACTATAAAAGTTTCACTCAGTCTGTTTCATCTGTAAGGCCACACCATTCCCCTGCAGGAGGCTGTTTGTAGACCAGACATAGCTTCTTCCCATAACAAACCAGATTCTTTCTCAAGGTTTATTAATAACATGTTACTGTGCAACCAAAGTGTCTGATTGTAAGTAAGGGGGAGCGAACGCTGCCCGGATCAGAACAGGGCTGATTACCAAGCAATCATGAACTGTCCTTTTTTGCAAAAATATCAGAATAAAGTGCCGACTGAGTGAAATCCACCCATCTGGGGTGAATAGTTGAATACTTTATTCCCACTAAACATATTTCCAATAAAGATTGGCAAGACAACTAAGATCATTTTATTTAAAAATCTGATAAATTCCAGTCTGTGACCTGAATATAAACCCTGTAGTGCAATGAACGCATAATTCAGTGAAAACATGAACTCTGGTGATGAGGCTGAATTTCCAGCTCCTCTTACTGAGTCGGAACTGCTATAACAGTTGGATCCATATTGGGGAAATGATGTCTATGTTCATCAAGCTCTTTACAGCACTTCAAATTATCCCTCCTTTCCATTCTGTGATAAGTAAGTAATACAATTTGAATTGCGGTCCTCATCTTTTTCTACTTCTCGAGCCAAAATTACTTCCATGATTTCTGGTGATGCTGGATGGCAGATGGGTTCCCCTGTCATGGTTTTGGTTCTGTTTTTAATTAACTTTGCTCCATGTTTCCTTGCTTTATTGGTTTAATTCCTGATTTTTTGCAGTTTCTAGATTTATGTTAGTTTTCAAGTTTTTCTGTTTTCCTCTGTTGCCCTCTTGTGTGTGTTCCTTTCCCCTTGGCTCTCTCGTTGTCTCCTCTCACACCTGCTCCTTATCCGCTCGTTAGCCCTGCCTTTATCTCAGTCAGCTATATATTCTCTCGCTCTGCTGTCACTCCTTGTTGTTTCCTTGTTGTTGCTGGTCCTGTCATCGCTGTTGTCTTCTTACCTCGTCTCTCCCTGGCTCCTCGTGCATGTTTTCCCCTGACAAAAAATCACCTCAGCCTCCATGCCTCTGCATTTGGGTCCTCTAAACCTCAACCAACCCTGCCATCCCTGTATGCTACAGATTCAAGGACTTTCCTAGACAACTCACCATAGCTTTTGACCCCACCTGAAAAAGAGTGATCTCAATTTCTGAAACTTTGGCAAGTCAACAGGCAGGCAACTCAATACATGATTGAGCTTCATACCCTTTGTGTTTAAAGTATTCAGATGAGGCGTTATTAATGTTACACCAAGGGATCAACGAGGAGATTGAAGATGAAGTTGCCTTGAGATTTTTCTGAGCGGTTGGTTGATTTAGAGATTCTCTCTGCCAAGATTGCTGTGAGGCTTCATCAGAACGGCACCCACCTTATTTTCATGCAGCCAGACTGCTTCCCACTTCTTGGAGCTATAAAAAAAAAACCGACTGAATTGAATTGATCCCAAGGAGCCTATGAAGACAGGCCAGTCCCGTTTCCCACCACAGGGGTGGGCGCAGATGTTAAGGAGGGGTTTATGTTTTTATTGTACAGTGTTCCTACTGAGTGAAAAAGAAAAATCAAATAAATCCTCAGTTTTAACTTTTATCTAGGCAACAGTTCTACCTGATGGTCATTCTGCTTTGAACTAGCCAGGCCCTTAACATTAATCTATATTCCTCTTCTAAAAGGGAAGATGTTTTGCTATTCTTCATTACGTCCTACACTGCAAACAACGCACAAGATTCATCCCACCAAATTAATTACTGGGGACACCATTGTGACCCATTTTCTATACTAATCATCAAGTTCTAGTTATCTTTAAGGTGCCCCCCCAGGGATGGTGTGGTATTGCAAGGACGCCTCTTGACTAGTGTCAGTTCAAAAGATAACTTTTAACAGAATTTTAGAACATTCAAGAAAGCTCAATGTCCACAAAGCTTGATGTCAGGAATATCTATCAGCTTGTTCATGTCGAGGAGGGAAACGAATGGAAAACATTCTAAACATTAATAAAAAGACAGGCTAACATTAGCCCTGACCACTGCATACGGGCTAGCATTAGCCCTGACCACTGCATACGGGCTAACATTAGCCCTGACCGCTGCAGACGGGCTGACTTTAGCCCTGACCATTGCAGAAGGATTAACGTTAGCCCCCACCGCTGCAGACGGGCTAATGTTAGCCCTGAACACTGCTGCAGACGGGCTAACGTTAGCCCCGGCTGCTGCAGACGGGCTAACGTTAGCCCTGACCACTGCATACGGGCTAACATTAGCCCTGACCGCTGCAGACGGGCTGACTTTAGCCCTGACCATTGCAGAAGGATTAACGTTAGCCCCCACCGCTGCAGACGGGCTAATGTTAGCCCTGAACACTGCTGCAGACGGGCTAACGTTAGCCCCCACCGCTGCAGACGGGCTAATGTTAGCCCTGAACACTGCAGACGGGCTAATGTTAGCCGTGACCATTGCAGAAGGGTTAACGTTAGTCCCCACCGCTGCAGACGGGCTAATGTTAGCCCTGAACACTGCAGACGGGCTAATGTTAGCCCTGACCACTGCAGACGGGCTAACGTTAACCCTGACTGCTGCAGACGGGCTAACGTTAACCCTGACCACTGTAGACGGGCTAACATTAGCCATCATCAATGACCCCTCACCCCCCCACCATGGACTGATCTCCCTGCTGCCCTCTGGGAAGAGGCTTCACAGCATTCAATGCAGGACCAGCAGGTTCTGCAGCAGCTTCTTCCCCACCGCCATCACACTGAAGAACTATTTAAACTCTAATCAAGACATATTTGCACTACCAACATTGCTGATTTTTTAAAAATCCCCTTAAATAGAACACAACTCAATGTTCTACTGCATTTTGCACCGAATTTATTTATTTGCAAACTTTTCATATTAATGCTTTTTGCACCAGGATTTTAAACTGGTTTTACTTTTCTCCTACACCGTTTACATGCTGATCACAGAAATGATAATGTTCATTTCACTGTTGTAACCTGCTTATTCATTGTTTGAAGCTGTTTGCATCGAAATTTTGCTTTGTACACACTCTGTGTATACAAAATGACAGTTTGTCAAAGTCTAATTAAATTTTGCAAGTAATCTCTCCCTCTTCTACTCTGCCTTTGTATCCACATCAACATCCATAGATTCTGACATCACTGCATCGTATCAAAAGGGACCGTACTTTGATATAGGATGTGCTGCTTTGGCTTATGGTTGCAAACGCAGTGCAAATGAATCGGTACTGCTTTCTTTTACAGTACATCAATAACTATGTAATATGATGGTAATAACATAGCAAGTCACACTATAGTACTTGGTAACAAAAGGGTTAGGGTAAGTACCCTGAAACTAAGGTATATAACTTTAAAATAATAACCTCAATGTAATTATTCCAATTATATGTAACAAGTAACAATGACGTCTTTTGGTGGATAATTACCGTTAGATCACCAGATATATTTCTATTATTGGCCACCACCTACCAACGGCTTACATTGGAACTTTTGATCAGGAAAATTAAATATTAATAAATTGAACTCAAGTAACATATAAATAAGAACATATTTAGGAATGTCGGCTTGCTGTCTTCTAGGTTTGGTTTTCTGTTATATACTAAGTAATAAAATCCATTTTACCAGATAATAACACATTAATTTATTGCTGTCTGAGAAATTAATGAGTTACCTGCTAATAACGGTTGAATTTTAAGAAGTTTGACTTTACCTCGTCTGCCTAAAATTTGAAGCACAGCACTTACTCCACAAAGTTTTTCTTGTTACCTCGTAATAAAGTTAAACTTTCTATGTTATTACCAGGTTATTAATGTACTGTAAAAGATAGGTTTACCAATAAATCATTTCACAGCAAATTTTAAAAAATACCTGCAAACAAACCAATGAGAATAGCTATTCTTTCTGCCTCTCTACCCGATGTCATCAGTCTTTGGTTTTCTTTGCTATGGTTTTTCATCTTTCACTCTTTTCTACAGATTTATTGACAAGCAAATAAATACAAATATCATGATTTTCAAGCCCCAAACACAATTATCCAGCAACAATGCACCAGTAATGATATTTGGCCTTATTTCCTGTAACAGTTATTGCAGATTTATTCCCTTAAATCCAAAGAAGTCCTTCTCATACCTGCATAGAAACTTTGTGCTGCCAGGCATGATTTCCAGCGTGAAGCATTCCCCTCCGTTAACGCAGTAGGTCTTCTGGCTGTTACTGCAGCGCATTATGTGGCTGGAGCTCTTAGCTGTAGTGGAGGTGCTGGTGGTAGCTGCAGAACGACAAACAAGGAAAAACGCATGCAAATGAATTACAGCAAGTCATTTAACTAAAATTCATTTTAAATTATTTATATCTCAGGATGAGGGATCCGGACTCCAAATCGTTTTCTGATCATTTGGGACTTTTATTGGAACAATAATACTAAATAAATATTATTATTATTATAAAAAAATATTTGTATTAACTAGCATCTGCAAGACCTTTTCACAACACATCTGTCATTGCAAAAAGTCAGAACCCAATGGACACAACGGCCGTTTTTCAGTCTGTGTACTTGTGTGTCCTCGTGTCCTCGTGAAACGTCATCAGCTTCACAATGTTCCAATTCACAAAACCGAGAACGGACAAAGTCCCCGGATGTTGTTCTGGCCCCTCCCTCTTTACCCAGCATGCATCAGAGCAGACTTGTCCGTTCTCCAGACTGACAGCTGTCCCAGCATGCACTGCGGCAGCAGCAGCTTCCAGGTTAGCGCTCACAGAGCTCAGAGCATTAAAGGAATAGTACACCCAAAACATGATTAGCCTTCATTTTCTACTCACCCCCAAGCTGAATAACACTCTGGAGTACTTTTTTTTTTTGTCCTCTCAACATCAGGACCTTTTTTTTTTTTTTTTATTACGCACTAAATCAGTAGGTTGGCCATATAGTGAAGCTTAAAGTATAATATTCTCTCCTCAAATGATTTTGAAATGTACTTTTATAGAACTACAGCAACAGAAAAGAGAACTTTTAACTTAAAGGAATAGTACACCCAAAACATGATTAGCCTTCATTTTCTACTCACCCCCATGCTGAACAACACTCTGGAGTACTTTTTTGATATCTCAAATGCATCTGGAGATCTGGGAGGCTTCTTGCTGTCTGCTGACATTCAAATAATGGAGGTCTATGGCGCCCGAGACAGAAAGGTCCATAAAAGTCCACAAAAAACGTGTCAATATTCCTCCATACTGCTCGTCCAATGTATTCCAAGTGTCCTGAGTGGGTAGCATCCAGAATTTACTCGAAACGAAGTCATTTAGAATGTTTATAGAGCATAAACAGTAGTGTATAGGATTTCCTGAAAGCGCGCGCCGGCGCGTTCATGACGCTACGGAAGCCGGCAGACCAAGCCAGATGAAAGTGCGCATTCAGCGTCTGCTCTGCCAATAATGCAAGCGTAGAAGAAGAAATGTGCTGTTTACCTGTTCAAAGAAAGAAACAACGAAAGGAAAATGTCTGAGGACTTCAGTGTTGAGGAAGAGCATGAGTTCTTTGCCGAGCTGAATGCGCACTTTCATCTGGTTTGGTCTGTCGGCTTCCATAGCGTCGGGACCGCGCATGTGCGCGCTTTCAGGAAATCCTATACACTACTGTTTATGCTCTAAAAACATTCTAAATGACTTCGTTTCGAGTAAATTCTGGACGCTACCCACTCAGGACACTTGGAATACATTGGACGAGCAGTATGGAGGAATATTGACACGTTTTTTGTGGACTTTTATGGACCTTTCTGCCTCGGGCGCCATAGACCTCCATTATTTGAATGTCAGCAGACAGCAAGAAGCCTCCCAGATCTCCAGATGCATTTGAGATATCAAAAAAGTACTCCAGAGTGTTGTTCAGCATGGGGGTGAGTAGAAAATGAAGGCTAATCATGTTTTGGGTGTACTATTCCTTTAAGTTAAAAGTTCTCTTTTCTGTTGCTGTAGTTCTATAAAAGTACATTTCAAAATCATTTGAGGAGAGAATATTATACTTTAAGCTTCACTATATGGCCAACCTACTGATTTAGTGCGTAATAAAAAATAAAAAAAAGGTCCTGATGTTGAGAGGACCGTGGCAACCAGCAGAGCTCTGAGGCTAACCACAACCAGGGCTAATGTTAGCCCGTCTGTAGCGTCCAGGGCACATCACAGATACCCTCACCTGCAAATTATGAGGAGAGCCCACCCGCCCCCCCCATCCTCCCCACCTTCTCCAGAAGCACCATAGAGAGCGTTCTGAGCAGCTGTCTCACTGTGTGGTGTGGAGGCTTCAGCGCCTCAGACTGGAAGAAGGTGAGAACAGCAGAGAGGATCATGGGGGCTCCTCTTCCCTCCATTAAAGACATTTCATCCCAGCGCTGCGTGTCCCGAGCCCGTGACATCATCAATGACCCCTCACCCCCCAATCATGGACTGTTCTCCCTGCTGCCCTCTGGGAAGAGGCTTCACAGCATTCAATGCAGGACCAGCAGGTTCTGCAGCAGCTTCTTTTTTTTTTTTACTATTCCAAGGCTGCACTTTTAAAAAGATGAAATCTTCCAGTGAGCTGTTTCCAAACAACATTTATTTTTATTTTACACTTGTGTAAACAAAATGACAAATAAAATCTGTCTAAGTCTAAGAGCACAAACGTCTGGTGTAAATTCAGACCAATTTAGATTGATGGTTGGTTTTCTCTGCTCACGCTGCAGGTCTCTCTCTCTCTCTCTCTCTCTCTCTCTCTCTCTCTCTCTCTCTCTCTCTCTCTCTCTCTCTCTCTCTCTCTCTCCATCCTTCTTTGGCCTCTGAATCAGCAGAGGAAAGATGAGCCCTTCCTGGCTCCAGAAGCTCACACCAAACGCTCCTTTGTGTTCTACCTATTCCCTCTGTCCCTCATAGACGCTGTGTGGCTGCACAGCGCTCTCCGCCTTTCTAAACATGGTCACTCATCCTTCCTCTTAGAAACACTGTAAACATGTGGTCTAAATTAGATTAACCTTTTATTTTCAGACAGAATCAATCATGTCCAGCTCTTAGATAAGCTCATCTGAAAGACCAGCGCTGTCCTGGACAAACTTATCTTTGCAGAATAACAACTAAAATCTAAAATGTCTAATAAAAATCTAATATTTCTTTTATTTTCTCAATCTGTTTTATTATCTCTGTTTTTGTACAATTTAACGTATTCTATTTTTCAAAGCATTATGGGTTTATAACTGATGCAGAATTACTCCCAGTGCTTCCCAGTTTGCAGCGCGAGCCGGAGCCCAGAATAGATCAGTGAAAAAATGTCTCCTTGAAGCACATTTTTCATTTTTAACTTGTCCTCGGCAACGCTCCGAGCTCAGACGCTTCAGTCACAGGAAGCCTCACATTCCCCATGACATCAGGAAGAGTTCAAAGCTCTCTGTCCTTGTTCTCCATCTGGCTTCAGAGCAGAATGGGGTCTTTACTGAAAACAATCTTCACAACTCTCTAAATCAGTCCAAGATAAACACTGAGGTGTCAGCTGTGCAAAAACACATGGAAAGCATCCATATTAAAGATCCTGATAGTAAAAGCAGACTGTAGGTGTGTCTAACACCGGTGCAGACGAGCATGCAGACTTTATACTGAGGTGGCCTCAGACCAGTAACAGTCTGCTGTCGAACACATTTTTCCATTGTTAATATAGTTTATTTATATGTAAAAAAAAAATAAATAAATAAAAAAAAGGAAATCCCTTTATTGTCCCAAAATGGGGAAATTCCCTCCCTGCATTTAATCCCTTCCATTTGGTGAGTGGTGGGCTGCCATTGTTAAAGTCGTAGGGAAATTATATTTAAAAGTCAAATCATTCTGGTTTAAACATGTATATAAATGTTCTCTTTATCAGACCATATTGTCCCAAAATTTAGAAAATTTCTATAAAAAAAAAAAACATTTTTTTTGTTATCTTCTGCAGGCCAGTTAGTTCTTCGTCAGCCTGAACACCTAAATTCGGCCAATCATATATCAACGGTCATCTGTCAATCAAATGTTTTCGGTCATAGCAGCTTGATTCATGTGTCGCAGCTAATATACGCAACGGTTGAAACCAGAATCCTTTCCTTTCCCATTGAGTTGCGTCCCAGTGTTCACGGGGATGGACGTCTGTGTCTTCGGCAGGCGTAGAGCTAATAGAACTGGCAGCGTTGCGAGGCAAGGGCTCAAACATGTACGGCTGGAAGCCTTCTACACCAAACCAAGCTTCTGTCGCCCTGGCGTCCTCTTCCAGAACATCTTCATCCCCGCTTTCCTCCTCTATATAAAAAATGTATGATGGAGGAGACTCATCCACGACCTCCGACACTAAACTCTCCTCCTCTTGCATGTTTCCTCTGTCCATAGCGTTTCTTGACAGCGTCGTTTCTAAGGCACCAATTTAGTGCTACTTGGTCCCAATGGAATTTCCCATTGGGAACCTGCTAGCACTAAGTTGCTAACTGGTTAGCAAGATGCTTCCCACAAAGCGGCCACAACCAAACTTGCTTGCGAACCTTCCGCCACAACAATGCCGCCCCCTTGATAATCGACCAATCACATTCACTTTATTCACTCGTGTAAAGTCGGGCACCATTCGGGAGAATTCTGATATGCGACGGTTGGAACAGCTGCTTCCCTACGACTTTAAGGGTCTTGCTCAGGGACCCAGATTGGCAGGCTGTAGGATTTGACCTCAGAACCTCCGCAACCAAAATGCAATCCTCTAACCACTATGCCAAGTCTCCATATAACATCACAATGATTATATAATTTCAATTAAATTCTATTCAGTGTATTTCTATACCTCCAATTCACATCATGTCATCTCAGGTCACTTTCCAGTTCACCAGATTATCCAGTCAGATTGCAAAGTTTTCTATCTAAGGAAAACCAGCTGATTGCATCGACTCATTGACTCTTCAGCAATCCCTCACACTAAGCATGCTTGTAGCGACAGTGGAGAGGAAAAACTCCCTTTGAACAGGAAGAAACCTCCAGCAGAACCAGGCTCAGTGTGAGCGGCCATCTGCTGATCATATCATAGTAATTATATCAACCATTAAGTCATAATCTTTCTAACCTGTTTACTTACAGTTAAGCTGAACCAATCTTGTGAGATATTTTGCTTTAAAGCAGCCACATCCTTCAGGGCCTTTTAGAGAGATAGGATTTAATTCTACAGTCTTTCTATACATCTCTTGATGTTTCAGAAGCTTTTAACTCTGATCCATGAATATTCTAGACACAAAAGGCCCCTAA